ATTACACGGACGATAACGGTGGTGTGACTGACACGGTCCAGGTTGAATTCAGTGCAGTGACTCTACCACGCCTAAGTCACGGGGTTCAAGCTCTAGGTCATCACTCTTCATATGAAGGCCCCCACATGCAGCGAACGAGATGGTCCAAGCCTCGTCACTGGCGACTGCACAGCAATAAAATGGTCCCATACTGTCAATTAATTCACACCTGAGATCTGAAGCTTAGCCAAGCATCATCAGGAAGATAATGCAAAAAGACTAAGATAAAGAGCCCCCGTATAGCCATAACAGACTGTTGGGGCAAGTGCTGTTAGCGAGCACCGATGAAACCCAACACGGTGCACAAAGAGGTGGGTGGCCAGCACCGCGCCCGACCGCCTTTGTCTCCCCAGTGGCGATGTTTACACATGGCACTAGGTACTCATTTGAGGCAGAGTCGACCCAGAAGCGGTTTTTCACCTGTGTTGACCGTGAGCAGGAATCGAACTCTGGTCGCAGGGTTCGTAGAGCAGCGCGCTAAACACTGCACCGCGACTCACCATGGTCACACAGGGCACACACAGCCACCGGAGTATCGGACGCATCGCCAAACTTTTTGCCTTAGAACACAGGAGGGGGGGGGGGGAAGATGCGTCGAACAATACGGAGAATTTGGGCTGTGAGGTTGGCACGCTGAGTTCGTGGCCATCGTTCAGACAGTAAAAAGGGGCCCTTTTGCTCGTCTAAAACACAGAAGTGAGAGTCAAAAAAAGGGACACTTTGAAAAACAAAAAGCGCAAGGTTTTCACTTCACGAGAATGCACAGACTCTCCCAGGTAACAACACATTTATCTTATCGTTGCGACACTTGCAGCGGCTTCCCAATTCGTCGCGTGATGCATGCTTCCCTGAGAGAAGACTGGCACGTCAAATGAAGTGCCAATGCTGTACCGCTCACTCAGATGCTGCCACAAGTGGTGTAATGTTTAGCAGCAGCACTTGGGCTTGAAATCCAACGGTCGCCATTCCATTCTTCCAGACACCAGCAGATAAAAATTAATGTGCCGACCACAGGAATTGCTTGTCCCTACATAGTACGATACTGCTGGCACCAATACTGATATATTATTATCATACAATCGCATCATGTTTTTTTAAACAATGGTGTAAGTTTCATAAATCCCCCCGCCCCTGTTTGCCCAGCAGTATAATTGGGTCACAGTTACTGTATCAGCAAGTCACGTATGGTGGGGTAAAGTTTCGTGTGTTTCGTTTGCTGTCCCTTCCCCCACACCTCCGATTAGTGCGGTTGGCTACATACGGTGCGAAAGAAGTCCAACACGTAAAGTGTGGGTCCGCATGCTTCTTACAAAAACGTATTGCCAGGGTGGAAGAGTAGGCCAAAGCACCCTCTGGGGGAACCTCTCTAGAGCTCCGTCTCACGGAAGCCCTACCACCAGCAATCACGTGAGTGGGACATTGCAGGTCTACACCTCTATACATTTGTTTTACCTTTTACTATCAGCCGAGGCCGATATCGCACTGAGAACGAATGCTCCATGTGTATGGGCCAGGGGATCGTAAGATTTACAGCATGCTGACACCACGCAGCCAATCGATGGAAATGAGTTCTGTGCTCGTAAATTTCTTCCTCGAGTCAAATTTTAATTCTGAGCCGCCAGGATTTTCGAGCCAATATTTTTGATAGCGGGATCTTATCATACACAGCCTCCTGTGCCCCCCCCCCTTCCTTAAATGATCTTCTTTGTGACAAAACTCCGGAGGCATATCTTTAAAACCCAATAAAAAAAATTACAGACGGCACGTTTTGGAGTTCATGAGCAACAGTTTCAACACAATTCAATGGAAAGAACACAGCTGCCCTTTCTTTCAATCTAGATTTGAGGTGTTCGTGACTGCAGGGATCCATACTCTTTGGAAATTTCGGTAAAGTCACGTAGATATAAAATAAAATAAATACAAAATGTATACCTACGTGACTTTATCGAAAGAACCACAGAGTATGTCCTTTCTTTCGTTTGAAATTTTACTTTAAATGCGCTGGAATGCGTAAGTGTAATTAAAGTGCAAGCCCTTGACAGAAGTACTGAGTAATATGTTGAGGAAATGAATGCAACGAGCAGGCACGCCGACTGTTAAATGCGAGGCATGTGCGTCATTATTTAATTTTCGCAATTTTTTATTTGCTTGAGGCAGCATCATGACTAACAATATGTTTAAGCGCTTCAATCGCGAAATACAACCGAGTCCACCGCTTAAAGCAATTAACTTATTAGGACGTCGAAATAATTGCAGTTTGCAGTGACAACAACGACGATGACAAACAACAACAACAACGGGGTTTTACAATCATGAGTCTGGAATTAACCTTGTAGCTAGGGTTGAGAAAGCCCTTCATCATCTCCAGTTACTGAACTGAGCACCCACTGTACCACTCACACCACTCGCTATGAAGCCACCAGTGAATGTGGCACCGATCAAATGGCACCTGCCAGAGGAAAATGTGAAACTTCCACCACTGGCTCAAAATCACCAGCTAGTTTGATCTGTTGCCCAACATTTATTTGAGGACGGTGAAACTTCTGACATTTGAATTGTCGTGACACGCATATACCGATGCACATTGCCTCCCAACTGCAATCATAACAACAAACTGCAGCCCTTTGTCAATCTCCTGCATGCGATGCCAGTTATCGGGATTGTTTGTCCATACTCAACAAGCTGGCCAGTGTGGGTGGACCCAGGAGCAGTTCAGATAGCACTTGCCGCTGATGTTCACCGTGGCTAGAAATTGTACTTGGTGTGCTGACCACTGTGCCACCACTCCCCCTTGCACGTGTATACAATGGAGGTCAACAGCCAGGACTGACCGAGGCAAATGCGGTGTCAGGCAAAGTGTGAGTCATATTTTGGGAGACAGTGTTGTCCGTTCTGTGCTTTGCCATTACAATCCGACACAACGTTTGCATTGTAAAAATACAACTATTTAAACGAACTATTATTTTACCACTGCGCTACATAGCTCTTCATCAAAAGCGACCTGGCCACAAACGACGGCTCAACAAAGTGGCTTCATCATCACGTGGAAATGTACAGCAGCCAAATAGTCTAAACGCGTGATGTTGATTAGAAATGTGGAGGGAAAAACTGGAGGACCTGGCGAAAACTCCACGCGACCACGTGGAGATAGAACACGCAAACTCCAAATTTACAGGCGTCAGGGTCGGGATCGAACCCACGACCCTCCTGTATACCAAGCGAGGTAGTTAACATCTTGCCACCGCGGCACCCTAATTGTTTTTATTAGATTGACTAATAAAATGACACATTATTACATCCCACACCACATTTACAACTGGATTTTTATCATCCAGGAAATCCTCAACGAGTGAAGAGACTGTTTGAGGATGCTGCTTGCAATTGGATGTTTAGCCAATTCAATTAAATGTCTCTCTTCCATGTGGCGAGGAAGCTTGATTTTCCAATAAATCCTACACGGATGAGGGGGGTAACACTCAAGCAGCCTAAACAGATGGGTTCAATAAAAGCCTTTGTTATGGTGTCATCACAACGTCCTCGCCACCACGACACGCCAGAGAGTGGCTTTGGGAACTTTTTTAGAAAATTGACGAGATCCAAAAACATTCCAAAGGTGCTCCATTTTAATCGTCAAGTGGGGCGATCACGTGAGGGGGGTAGGTGGGTACATGGGGCGGTCACCTGGGGAGGTCACGTGAGGGGGTGACGTGCGGGGTTCACGGTGGTTGTGCTGTTGTTTGGTTTAAATGTATAAAACTGCATGAGTGCCCTGCGTACGCAAGGAATCCGGGCCACTTTGCACTTTTGCAATTTGTTTTTCCAGTTTAAAGTAAAGTTCTGTTAAAAAAGTAAAAAATGAACAGCCGGGGAGTCGGCACGTGGCCTGCGAGCTGCGGTTCGGCCATCCCCCAGTCTATGCCTTCACTTGGAGGTCATTCCCCACGTCTGGCAGTCTCGTCTGGTGGACATCTATGGGAGTTCCACAGAGAACACAACCGCTTGCCCGTGTGGCCTAACACCAACAGCACCAAGGAGGCAGTTCGGAAGTTAAATCTGAAAGTGGAGCCCTGAAATTCCTTGCTCACGCCACTGCTGGTGGAAGGGTCTCTAATAGAAATAATTCTAGAAAGCCCTCTAAGAGCAATGGTCTCCAACCTTTTTGGCATCATGGACCGGTTTCGTGGAAGACAATTTTTCACGGACCAGGGGGGAGTTCATCATTGGGTCTTTCCTCCTTTTCAAAGAAGCTCTCCAGCGACGTTTGTTTTTTACTCATTGTGGCTAGGGGTTAGATTGTGGACTGACCAAAACTGTGACTGAGACAAGTGCGCAGTTCGGGAAAGAGGCGCGGACGGAAGTGGTAAATAATAAAATAATGGGCGGGCCACGCGCGGACTCACCGCTCACTTTCTGCTGTGCGGCCCGGGCCATGGACCGGTACCAGTACCGGTCCACGGCCCGGGGGTTGGGGACTCCTGCTCTAGAGGGTGTTTGGCCTACTCTTCCACGCAACTGGGTGGATAGAGGTGGGCCGGTCGGGGTAGATTTAAGAAACTTTCACCATTGTTTAAACTTCCGCACGGAGAGCTCAAACCAAGGTTGAATTGAACTTGTCGATCTTCGGATTGCAAGTCCAGTAAGTTCAGTGTGCTAGCAATAACACCGTGGAAATTAAAACGTGTTTAACGCTATCCCTGCAAATTTGCAGTGTCCTGTTCGGATCGTGCAAGCGGCTCGGCTTTAATTTTCTTCAGAGAGGTGGAGCGCCGTTGATTTTAAAGACATCGCACTCACCATGGAGAATCATGGCCACACGACTGCCACTCTCTACGACGTGCTACACGTCATCGGAATATAATTGGAAGAAAAACCGATGACGTACGGCATTGGAATGGGAAAGGGATAAAAATGGAAAGGGGGTAAAAGGGGTGAAAGGGACACGGGTAAATCAAGCAAGGCACCTCCACGAAGATAAAGCACGGGATGATGGAGTTGCTCCGTTGAACATCTGGCGCGTCTTTCGGCATGATGTCAGCAAGTCGTACCGCTCACCCGCCAATCCTTAACAACAACAACAACAAACAACACAGTTGATTACCTTCCCTCTGGTGTCTTTGATGTGGTACTGACTTCCATATATATAATAGATCAGTATATAAATAGGATTTGAAAATTGCAGCTGAATTATTTATATGTCGTAACAGCCACAGCAGTACTGCGAGTCAGAGGCTGTAACTTTTAAGAACACTAAACATTTTAAAACTAGATATGAATAATTTAATTGAGCAACTTTTGACAATCCACTGCTGAACGAAGGTCTCTACTACACCCTGATGGTCGTGGGCGTTGTTTTTACCATACTTCACCACGCTGGTCAGTGAGATTGAGAGTTGGTGAAGATGGTTGGCTACGGGATTTGTCCAGGACCATTTTGCAGTTTACTTATGGACTTATTATGAAGGCCCACATTTTCTTGTATTCATAATTTATATGCATGCATTATGGTAAAGTACAACTTTTAAGAACGGCTTCTTGCCCTTAACAAGATTCAACTTTTTAAAGCAGACACGATTAAGAGTTTGTAGTGTTTAAGCAAACGTGCTGTAATTAAATGGACGAATTATAAGGCAACTCATTTGTGTACATTTAAGCAATGATGGTAAGAAGCTAAGGCAGATTTAATTTGAATTAATTGCTTGCTCGTTGCCTGCTGCAATTTTAGTTGCCCAGTCAATCATATGACACAGTTGTTCACGTACAATATTGTGTGTACGTGTTAGTACCATTGTGAACTTTGTTCACTATATAAAGCTAAACATATAGACACACACACAGAGAAACCTGGTCGAGTTTTAAAAGACTAATGGAGAAGTTATGTTCAAAATAATGACAGCAAATAACATGCTGAGTCTCAAGACTCATTTTCAGGATGGTTCTATTCCATTGGGATGTTTGGCCCATTTATGCCCCCAAAAATAATATGGAGTTTTGGCTTCGTGTGTGAGAGGGAGCGACACTCAGCACCGCCACCTCCTGGTCAAATCCCCGTTTCCCCACACCGACAACTCCTGGCAAGCCCTACTGGAGGTGACGGTGGTGGTGGTGATGATCGCTAATCCAAACACTCACCAGTTTTGACCACTCCTCCTGCTTAGCTTGCAAGACCCGCTAATTATGGTAATTCGACTGTACATAAGGACTTGTTTGCGAGCACCTATTCACATGAATCATCTATTGCCAGGCAGCCTAATCGTTGAACGCGCAGTAGGCTTTCGCGACCAATGTTATTCATAATCAAGGGGGGCGGGGGGGGGGAGTTGGATTAGATCGTGTAAATATAAATGTGTCGTGAACCCACCACCACCCGACGCAGCCAATCAGTAATGTTCGTCACGTAGGCAAAACGTGCCAATTAGTGACTTCAACACACACAGACAACAGTGTGTGTTGAGGTTAAGTAACTAGCCTCACAGCATTTGCACGATTAAAATGCTGCCTTTGCAAATCGCGGAGAGCAACTGCAATTGTCAAAGGCAGTAAGTAGCACTTTGTGTGTGACTGCACATCGAGGCACGCACACGGATTGTCCGTCGGCGATGTTGTGCCAAGGAGCGCGCATTCCGCCTGGCCGCTTCATCAAATTCATATCGCGTAGAGCGATCGCGTGAGAAGAGATCAACGTTTGGTTTCACTGAAATAACAAAACAAAAAAACAAAACCCCGACCGATTCAACAGAGGAAGACGGGCGGCGGATGCACTCGTTGGCGAACATTCGCACCGATAATTAAACGCATACATGGTGAGATTGCTGCTAGTTATGACGGGGCTTTAAATGAATTAAAGGCTGCATCGGCGAGCACAAACGACGAGGGAGTGTGTGTGTGGGGGGGTGTGTGGGGGTTTAGGTACCGCTCATCGTAGCACGGCAGAACGAGTGGCAATCCCGACGACGGCTGGCGTGCCCTTTCATTCATTATTAACACCGCACAATAATCCGGAGCGAAGCCAAAAAAAATCAACTCGGGAACGTGGGCACGAACGTGCCCCGTTGGATTGCGCGCACGTGTCCACAGCAAAGAGCGTCAGACGAGCAGCAGCAGCAGCATCAGCGAGATGAGGCCCAACGTGGCACGCAACACACCAATTCGGTCAACGTCGTCGTCAGCGGCGGGCACGAGCGGAACAATGCAACCTGCTAGATGACAGCAAACGCAACACCACAGGCGCGTGCGTGCGTGCGTGCGCGCTCATTCATCTACCCCCGCCGCTTGCATTCATTCCGACCACTCGTAGTAGCAGCAGCAGCAGCAAATACCGTGGGGTTTTTGGGTCCTCGGCGGAGTGATGTGATGTCGCCGGTTGGTATCCAGTCCCGTCCCAGCCTCCCACCAGAAAGACTGCGTCTGCTGTGATGGAGGCACGTTTACCCGGCCATTTTCTATACGAGGGCTGTAGCTGGGTGGATTTTTTTTCTGGATAGCTCCTCTTTCCAATTGCCAGCCACGTCTCCTCCTCCCCCTCTCCTCCTCCTGCTCCTGCTCCCTCCCTCTCTCCTCTCTCTCTCTCCACTGCCCCTTCCCCCCTCCTCCCCTTGTCTGTCCGCTGTCGCCGCGTGCCCCTGATTTAGCGTTCACAGGCGTCCGTGGAGCCGCCCGTGCCTCGGGTGGTGCGGGCTGAATGTGCAACACCCCTCCACCCACCCACCCCAACCACCTCCTCCTCCCCGAGCGAGAAAGGAAAAGCGAAAACAACAAAATATCGAAATAGTAATTATAGATGTGTGTGTGTGTAGAGAGAGAGGACACGGATGCAGAGGGATAGGGGCGGGGGGTGGTGGTTCTTTCTTCGGGTGTGCCTGATGCTCTCTGCATGCGCGAGGCGCTAGACTCAGTGCTTTGGAGACCAAGGATTCACACACAATACGAATGGTTTGGGCGCTTTTCATCACACTGCGAGCTGGTGCGTGTGAAGAGGAGTGGAATACCCCCCCCCCCCCCCCCATTGTGCTAGAAACCCCCCAGCCGAAAGCGCGTTTGCTGCTTACAATGCAGAATTGGGTCCGCGGTTCGATTCCCGCAAGCCGGCCTGGTTACACTGTGTAACAATTGTATTTATTATTTTGTTCCTGGGTAGTAAGTGGTATTTCCTTATTGATTATGCCTCAAAAGTACAGAAAATGGTTATTATTCTCCACAAACTTCGCTTTTAGAACCAGGACATTGATTTACATATTTTCCGGAACATTCCAGATATATTCAGTGCTGAGTAAACTTGGAATAACTTCTCTAATATTCTAGAACTTTACAGTAATATAAATAGTAGTATAAATACAGGGGCCTTAAGCCCACCAGTTCAGTTTATTTCCAGCTGCCTAAGTGGATACATATCTGCATTTTTCTGAGATGGCATCAAGAGGCTGCAAGCATCCGGCAGACGCATTTTGCTATATCTACGGCCAATTTATCAAGACAAAGAGCGAAAAAGTACTCTGTGGAAGCATCTGCTAAGATGTGTGAGGCCTACAAGGCATATTTCGGCATGCGAGCAATGCAAAAAAAACTCTGGAAGGTTTTATGGAAAATTGTTGCTCAGAATTTTATGTTATAAAATTTGTTAAAATTAGTAAAATTCTAAAAGTATTTAATTTTAAAATGTTTTACAAATTTCAATGTTATTGAAAAATATATCATATATGAAAAATGTCGCGAGAATCTCTTACACATTAGTCATGGGTGAAATAAATGTATTTTTGTAGGATGGTACAGAGGGGAAAAGAGAGCCATGACGTTTTCTATCCCAAGAATTTGGCGGGAACCCACTGACCACTCCAGCAACTGCTACTTCTGCATGGTGGACCCTTCCAAACGTCGGACTGGCAAGAATGCACCTGCTATCACGTATCAGGACCTTCCGTCATCCATCGCCACACTGCCATGAGCTCCCCGTACCCACTCCTCCGGAGAGAGAGCAGCCGTCTTTAGAAGAGAGCAGCAAGTCAGAGAGCGAGGAAGCCGTTGTAGATCTAGATGACAATTTCAGAGGTGGAGCTGAGAAGAGAAACCCATACTACCCCAACCAAAAAGACCTCAACGACTTGATCAGAGATCTTGGTTTTACCCAGTCCAATGCCGAGCTTTTGACGTCTAGGCTCAAGCAGTGGAACTTGTTGGATAAAAGTGTGCAAGTCGCAGATCAGAGGAAGTGTCACCAATCTTTTGCAGCTTCAATCGGAATCGCCTGTAACCAGAATGAGTGGCGCCTCTTCATTGACAGCTTATCCAGGAGCCTCAAAGCCGTGCTGCTCCATAATGGTAACAAGTGCCCATTTCTTCTCCTGGCTCACTCGGTGCACCTCAAAGAGAATTACAACAGCATCAAGACCTTGCTGGACGCCTTGAAGTATAATGAGTATGGCTGGGAGGTCATCAGAGACATCAAAATGGTGGCATTCTTGATGGATCTCCAAGGCGGATTAACCAGGTGTCCCTGCTATCTTTGCCTTTGGGACAGCAGGGACACCAAGGCGCACTATCACAGGCGGGACTGGCCACAACGGACCGAGTTCTCTGTGGGGAGGAACAACGTCAAGTGGGAGCTACTGGTGGACCCCCAGAAGGTGCTGATGCACATCAAATTGGGCTTTATAAAACAATTTATCAGAGCTGTAGATAAGGAGTGGGCAGCCTTCAAGTACCTTCAAGATGTCTTCCCTAAGCTGTCTGAGGCAAAGGTCGAAGCCGGTGTCTTTGCCGGACCACAGATAAAGAAGATCCTGGAGTGCAATGAGTTCCACAAGAAGCTCACTAGTAAGGACAAAGCGGCTTGGAACAGTGCTGTCGCAGTGGTTCGTGGCTTCCTGGGCAATCACAAGGTCGAAAACTTTGTGGTGAAGAACTACGGCACAATGGGCTGTAGGATGTCCCTCAAAGTCCATATCCCTGATGCTCATCTTGATAAATTCAAGGAGAACATGGGAGCGTACTCGGAGGAGCAAGGCGAGCGCTTCCACCAGGATATACTGGACTTTGAACGCCGCTACCAAGGACAGTATAACGAGAACATGATGGGAGACTACATTTGGGGCTGATTCGTGAAAGTAATTTACAGTATAATCGTAAATCTCGAAAAACTACTCACTTCTAAATCTTTAGTAGTAATTTTTGTATTACTTTAGTATAAATACATGTTAATTTTGATTCGTATGTTGTTGTTTTTCTGACTTTATGTGAACGAAAAGACAAAGTCGCACGTTTTCTCATTGAAAATAGGCAAATTAGAAAATATCACTGTCCTGGTCACAAAAGCAAAGTTTGTGGAGAATAATAGCCATTTTCTATACTTTTTAGGCATAAGAAATTATGAAATAACACTTATGATACCCAGGAACAAAAATTGTGATACATCGTGTTATTTCTGCGGTGTGTATCGATTAACCATTACATTCGAAAACCAAAAGCATACCCCCATCCCCACCACCATTGTGGCATGGCCTTGCAATAGCGTTTGCGCTTGGAATGCAGAATTAGGTTCGCGGTTCGAATCCCGCAAGTCGCCGTGGTTATTACTGCCGTGTGTATTGATTGACCATTAAATTCGACAAGCAAACCATACCCCCATCCCCACCACCATTGCGGTATGGCTTAGTGATAGCGCGTTTGCCGTTTCTTCTTATTGTTGTTGCAGAGGTCCGCGGTTCGACTCCGACAAGCCACCCTGGTTATTACTGCCGAATGTATTAACCGTTACATTCGAAAACCAAAGTACTGTGTACCCAGTTGAGATAACCATGACACTGCGGCAACACTCCCCAAATATGGTCCAGCCAGCGGTAGTGCATTCGCCACTTATTGCCGAATGTATTTTGTTTGCGGTTTGACTCCATCAGGCTGCCCTGATGATTATTGCCGGATGTGTTAACCATTAAATTGGAAAAGTCAAGTATACTCCCACATCCCCCCACACCAGTAATCCAGCGGTAAGTCGTTAGCTGATTGTTGCGGTGATTTGCGGTTCAATTCCCATAGGCCACCCTTGTTATTACCGTAAAAAAATACGCACCACCTGTTTTTTTTTTTACTGTGGACGTCGATTCCTCTGACGTCATTCGAAATGAGACAGGCCATTGCGCGCAGGCAATACGGGGTCCAACATTTTTTGCCAATTGAAAAAAAAAATCCACCGCAGATACTCCACTTTGGCATTACACAGAACAGCATCACCGCACTGCGAATTTACCGCAGACTGTGTCTGTGAATCACGGCGCTCTCGTGGTATCCTCGGCCTATAATAACAATGGCGCGAATACCAACGTACTACATTCTAATTATCATGCAAATTATAATCCGCCCCCCACTGCATCTCCATGCCGTGCGTGGCTTTTGTTTGACCCACTGACGGTCCAACGGCTCTCATTGTCTCGTCCCAACCCTGCGCCCGTAAACTTCCCATGCCACAAAAATTGCGATATCCGATTATGTTTCTAGTAGATTATATATGCTTGTTCGTTATTTTACGTAAATATATCTCACTGTACTGTGATCTTCCCGCATTTTGGTGACGATTATCTGAACCGATGCTGGGCCTCCCCTAGGTCGACACAGCCTCAAAATGAGTACCTGGTGCGGTCTGTAAACATCGCCACTGAGGAGACAAAGGCGGTCCGGCGTAGTGCTGGCCACCCACCCCCTCGTGTACCGTCGCGGCCCTCATAGGTGATCGCTAACAGCACTTGCCCCAATAGTCTATTAAAGGCTAGACGGGGGATCTTTGTCTTTGATACTCTTCAAATGAAGGGCCTCCACTAGAGGGAGCTCCACAAGAAGGTGTATATTGGCCGACTCTTTGAGGAAGCGGTAACCAGACATCCAAAATGTTGGAATCGGCTACCGACACTGTGGAGTGGGAAACCCACACTCTGTGCCCCACCACACACGTGACCATTTATACTGTTGGGGAGGGGGGTCAGAGGTCAGGTGGTTTTCAGAAACTTGCATCAGGAGACAGTTTCGAACCGTTCCACCACGCCAGCTCTCCCCGAGTACCACTGAATTTCACGTAGCCTTTTGTCCGGGTCGATTTAATTCGGCTTCACTTGGAATGGGTGGCACGTAACGTGACCACATGCAGAGCGAAACGGGTATACTGGGCGTGGTGTGCCGACTGCGTAAATATATATCTTTTTTGTTATGCGGGGTTTACCGATCTGACCAGATTCTGTTGAAATAAAGTATTGGGTGTCCGTAAGGCTGTGTTGATCGAGATTCAACAGGACGTCTACTCAGGAGATGGAATGATGTAATAATGTTGTGTGAAGTTTGCCGGGTGAGGTTGTCGCATTGCGAGATAATGAGAGGTGTTAGCAGTCTGAGGGAAGCCCTCATCCAGCAGTGGATTGACCATCACTTATGATGATAATGATGATGTTGTAAATCTTCACTTGTACAATACAGCGAAGCGAGCTGGCAGTAAGAATCGTGGAGGAGAGGTGATTTATAGTGCACGATACGAACTCGTTATAATTCCTCTTATCTCTGCTGGTTTTATAGACTATCCCATCTGTTATTAATCCCCTTATGAGATCAGGGTTTTAGGTTCAACTCGGTGGAGAGACACATGCTTGCGGCTACACTGAGAGACAGAAAGGATAATCGAGGATTATGGGACATATCGCAGCTTAATGACAATTAATACTGTTCCCGAAAGTGGACTTGGGCAGGATATGTGGCTCGATGGCATGGCTGTGGGCCCATGGTCAAGAATAATAACGTAGTGGTAGCCAAGGAACCGAACGCATCCGATGGGACATCGACAGTGGAGATGGAGCGATACAATCAGCTCGCGTATTATAGCTGCTGCTGCGCGGAGTAGTACATTGCAGGATGGTGAAAGATGACACTAGATTCGTCCAGCAGTGCCTTTCACCATGGCTGATGGTGTTTTTTGGGGGTTTCTTCTGATATCCAAGAGGCACATCTCATCGAACCAGGAGTAGATAAAACATTGCTTCCCGTCACATAAATGTGGAATTTCCACTGGTTTCTCAATATCACCAACGGAGTTGGACCCAGCCCCTTTGATCATTTGGCGTGGTACTTTGATTCCATCTATCAAAAGCCAGGCTCTGGGCTGGGTACAGCCCTTAATCCACTGCTGAATGAATACCTCCCCGCATCTTTTGGTCATACCTTTTTTATTTCACGAAACGTCACTATGCTGGTCAGATTAAATTGGTGAATGTGATATGTTGCTTGCCTCTGATGTTAGCCTTAGCCAGGAATCAAATTCAGGTGGCTGGGTTCACAAGCCACTGCGCCACCACTCCACTCCACATAGCGGGCATTAAGACGATTCCCACCTAAAGGAGATGGAGCTATGAAAACGATCCGTGTGCAGGTCGGTAGATTATGTCGTAGGACTGACGTGAGATGGCTGCTTGGAACATCGAGCCGGCACTTCATCCAACAGTAGATTGGCCATGGCTGATGATAATAATGAACATACAATAAATGCACCGGTAAAGTTTTATATTAAAAAAATAATTGAACTTTGTCTCCACACGCGACGGAAGGCCAAAGTTAATCGGCGCAGACTCAAATTGACGAACGAATTTTTTCCTTCCCTCTGAAAATGCCCTGCAGTGAGTGCTTTTGCGCACGATTGCATTTCATGAATATCGCGGACTCGACGTGACTTAAGAGGATTTTTAAAATATAGGCCAGCTGATAATATAAGCGAACCCCATGAGGCACAACGTATAGTACAATTCAATCAGTGCGCTTTCTATAGAGCTTCTAAATACAACTGTATATTGTCGAGATGCTGTACAAACAACAGTGCAGTGGGACATGCGCATCACGTAGTCAGTAAATTTTGTTCCAGAGATATAACATAGAAGACGGATGGGATGCTGGCCAGTGGCGCAGTAACCACATCATCAGCTCAGGAGGTGCGGAAATCGGTCACGTGGGGCGACAGTATTAGTTTTGGGCAATTTTGCGGAAGCCAAAAACGTTTCCCCTCTAATTACATCAAAATAAAAACGTGGAACGTAAATGAAAGCATTATCTTCAAAATAAAAAAATGTACCGCGTTTAATTAAAAATAAAATAAACCGCGTTTAATATTGTTTGGTTATTTGACACGGTTGTCCAAAATAAATCGCATGGTGGTTGTCAAGAGGGCCCCAAATCGTAGCACTGGCCACCGTGGGGAGAGGAGCAAGGCACCACCTGCCTGCCCCCACGCTCGTTACGCTACCGGTGCTGGTAGTGGCTAGGAACGTGCTCTGTAATCCAGCACTGTGGGTGTGGTGGATGGCACAGCTGCTGTGCAACTCCCTGTGGGCGTACAGGTGCCATACCCTGGCTCGCCTGGAAACGGCGATACACCAACTTGTTGAAGTCACCTGTCCCATCTGAATATGGTAGCGTTTGCCCCTAGCCTGGTTTCTTCCCACATGTAAAACACTCATTAATTGGACGATTATCCTTTCATATATAGAGAGGACCACAGAGCTTGGAGGCCGTTCATAAATGACGTCACGCGATTTTGGACGATTTTGGACACCCCCCCCCCCTCGTCACACGGCGTCACAAAAAGTAAAAAATGACGTCACAAAGCACTGCCCCCCCCCCCAAATAAAACATGCTTCAAATCGCTTTAAACTATTGTCATTGTAGTGCATATTTAATGTGGCGCTGCACTCTGATGTTGTAGGAGAAACATGTATTAAAAAGTCTATTTAATTAAGTAGAACATGTTGTCTATATTTATTTAAAGTTGCGCATTTTGATGTGACGTCACATTTCTCACCCCCCCCCCCCCCTCGTAACACATCGTCACAAATGTCTGACCCCCCCCCCCTAGGTGCGTGACGTCATTTATGGACGGCCCCTTGGGACATTTTTGCTAGCACCGGCTCACTGCCTGACTGCTGCCTTCCCACTGGTATGTCCTGTATGTTGAACTAATTTCTCACCGTACGTAGGCGCGGGGGGAAGGACAACAAACTAAACACGAAAAGCATGCGTTATCAATCTAGATCAGTGGCTTCGTAACATCGAAAGGAAGAGTGTTCCAGACGGCCGCAGGAGTGCTTCTTGCAAGAGCACAGCGAGGATTATATCGGAGTTCGCGTGATGCTTTGCGCTTCCTGACGAGATCAGTTAAGGTATTGTGGGTTTATTCGTTCGACTGACGATGCCTTCTCATTTGAGTCCGAGTCTCTCTCGCCGAGAGTGAGCGAATGCCGTGCAGCGCCGCGTTACAAGTCGACATTATTGGCAGAGGACAAGAAGGAGTTTTCGAGACTGAATTTTCCAGGTAAGGTCTGACATACACGAATCTAAAGGTACACACATTTTTTTAATCATTCAGCACACATACTCTTTGGTTCTTTCGGTAAAGTCACGTCGGTGAATAAAAATATTTTATTTTATTATTTTATTTTTCTTATTTTTTATATATATATTTTATTTTCACCTACGTGACTTTACCGAAAGAACCAAAGACAATGGATCCTTGCAGTCACGAAAACTTGAAATCTAGAAGCATTCAGTAATAATCTTTTTTAAATACTTATTTCGTCGTAGATGTATGCCTGTACACGTGTATAGTAGTGTACTTGGTGCAGTCGCAAACTGCTGTGGTCGAAGTGGTGGGCAGGAGAGGGCAGTGCAGCAAAATAATTAGTACTGTACAGTACTTTCTATGCTCCCACAGCGATGTTCCCCGCCTTCACCACCGACACGCATTGACCAGCGTAGAGAAGGATGGTAAACAAAAATAATAATAATGACGCCCTGTCATCCAGCAGCGGTGAGATAACTCTGTCACAAGCGACTGCACGAGAACAAAAGACACATCACGTGCAGTGTGATTGTGCACTTCATTTGCCATCGTGCAGCGTCTGTGCGACGAACATTGTTATTCTCCATAATGCAGGGTGTTTACTGGTCCGTCGAGTAGGGAGGGGCTGGGTGGGGAGGGATGGGCTGGGTGGGGAGGGAGGGGCTGGGTGGGGAGAGGCTGGGTAGGGAGGGTGGGGCTGGGTGGGGAGGGTGGGGAGGGGCTGGGTGGGGAGGGTGGGGCTGGGTGGGGGGTGGGAGGGGTGGGGAGGGGCTGGTCACCCCATGGTGCCCTTATAAAACTCAACGTTTAACCTACTCACGCCGGCTTGTGCCCGCCCTCACAGTCGGGCATATTTGCGGAATACACCACGCCGCCGTTGACCCTGGCCATTGACCGAGCAACCCAACGTTCCTATCAGCTCCCTCCGCAGGAATGTGTTTACTGGGTTAGATCGCGTAAATATATAAATGTGTCGTTAAAACCCGCCACCACCCGACACAGCCAACGAGTAAGGGTTGTCACGTAAACAGAACGTGGCCAATTCGTCACTAGTACAGCACACAGGTTGTCGCCTGAAGAAGCTAGTTGTAATTACTGGCGAAACGTCGTACTCAGGTTGTAAATGTTGTGGCTTGGCTCTCGAACACACCGGTGTGCTGTACTAGCACACTACACTATACACTACACTATACACTACACTACTATACACTACACTATACACTACATTATACACTACACTACTATACACTACCCTATACACTACATTAAACACTACACTACTATACACTACATTATACACTACTTTACACTACACTGTACACTGCATTATATACTACACTACTATACACTACACTTTACACTACTATACACTACACTACAATACACTACACTATACACTACACTACACATTAGTGCTGTACTAGTGACGAATTGGCATGTTCTGTTTAACGTGACAACCCTTACTAGTTGGCTGTGTCGGGTGGTGGCGGGTTTTAACGACACTTTAATATATTTACGCGATCTAACCCAGTAAAAACACCTCTTATGGATGATATTGGTCGCGAAAGTCAACGTGTTAAACATTACTACTCTCATTATGCAGAACGAGTGGGAAAGTGCTGCCCTGCATAGGATGGACGCGGAGCTCGCTTGCACGGCATCTCAGATGCAGCTCCTTGATGTCCGCTTCCGCGGGCCGATGGCTTCACAATGCAACCTCGCTCTGCGAGAGATGCGAACGGATGTCTCTTCTCGTGACACAATGGGGATAACAGTGACGGCTCGGGAATATGTTTCATTCGTTTGTTTAAATACTTTTGTACAGCCAAATTTATTGAAATGACCGAACGCCGCACGCCAGGTCACCGTTGTAACAATTGCTGCGGTTGGGCGTGAGAAGAGGAGGAGAGGAGAGGGAAGAGGGAGGGGTGAGGATTTTCAAAGGTTGGAGAATTCCAAGTCGAGCATTGAATGGGGGTGGTGGTGGTGGTGTTGGGGGTGTAGGAATAAATCGAAGGCAAGGCAATGGCGCGCCCTTGGTGTGATTACGACCGCTGTTCAGTTCTCTACCCATCGCCAAAGTCGTCGCCGTTCTCGTCGTCGACTTCGTCATAATTCCCGACGCACGTCAATCTTGACGGATCGCTTGACAGCTTGCGGAAGAAGCCGAGCGTTCGACTCCATCGTTTGTATTCCCCAAGACAGACAGACAGAGAGAGACACATTTTTTTACGTTCATATTCGTATACACGCGAGCTTCGGAATAAGACGCAACACCCAGGCCACGATATATTTTACGATTTTTTTTTAAACATATATTAATATACTTTTCTTTCACGCACCGTCATCGCCATAGTGTGTATCGAATTCAGTTGTATTAGATAGCAAACACTGAAGTGTATTAATACACCGGCGTAAAACGGTGTGGACAAATAGATATTCTACTCCGGCATACATACCCACTACAGTATATATAATGTATATATAAACTACAGTATATATAGACTGTATATAAACTACAGTACATGTATAGTATATGTATACTGTAGCACTGTAGTGGGCCAGGCAGTGAAGACGACGCGAATTCCAGCGGCAGCATCTTCTCTCTCTCCTCTCGTAAGTAGGTCACTCGTGTGATGTGTGAGTGTGACAGACACACTCACTAACATGATGTGTGAGTGTGACAGACACACTCACTAACATGTAATGTGAGTGTGACACACACACACTCACTATCATGTAATGTGAGTGTGACACACAGTCGTGTCGTATGAGACACACACACACAGTCGTGTCGTGTGAGTGTGAGACACACTCACAGTGGTGTAATGTGAGTGTGAGACACACACAGACACAGTCGTGTAGTGTGAGTGTGACACACACACACAGTGGTGTAATGTGTGACACATACACACACACACAGTCGTGTAGTGTGAGTGTGAGACACACACACTAACATGTGAGTATGAGACACACTCACACTCACTAACATGTAATGTGTGTGTGAGACACACACACACAGTCGTGTAATGTGAGTGTAGCAAGTGAGTGTGACACACACAGAGTCCTAATTTGCCTGAATAACGTGAATGTGTCGAAGGTTTAGACGGCGGTCACATCTCATCGTCGACTGCTATGCAAATGCATTGAAGGTAATGTCACCAAAGCAATGGGATGTTACGATGTTCATGATGATGATGGTATTCGTGGTGGTGGTGATGATCCATTGAGCATTCTGCTGTACGGGTTTGCCACGGGTATGCATCGGTTGACAATTCGAAGATCATGTAAGGTTGTGGATGCCGCATTTCTTACATATATATGTATAAATACGTACTATAGTGAATTAATGAGAATATCCGTCAACCACGCGTTGATATTCGCACGCGCCGCTTTGAACATTACCCGTAACAATATACACGCGTTGCCAACGGAATGAATACGTTACTGATGTTCATGTCGATTGTGTCTTAATGCATAACCATCGCCGTGTCATGTGTGTATATATACTAACAATCATTTATCAAAACACTGCTAGATGAAGGCCTCTTACCTACGTCGTGCCTGTTATGGGGAGGGGGGCTTGTTGACCATATTTGACCACGCTGCTCTGTACGGGTTGAAGGTGGTAGAGGGGGTTGGGGTGGGTTACCTTTTCATTTCAAATATCACTCGTGGGTTCCAGGAATCGAACTCAGGTGGCCGAGCTCAGAGCAACGTGTGCTGACCTCAACGTGCGGGTCACCCCGCGGTGGCGATTATTGGGCATCCCTTAAATCAACTCAGCCTTAAATGTGTACCCGGTGCGGTGTGTAAATATCAGCATGGGGGGGGGGGGGGAGACAAAAACGTCCTGGGGTGGTGTTATCCACACAACCCCATCAAGAGTCCTTGCCGGCCTTCATAGGGGCTCACTAAAAGCAGCTGTCCCAACAGCCTGTTAAAAGGCTACACGGGGAAACTGTGTGATTTGTTTGTATATGCGTGAGATAAAGAGGAAATTAATGCATACGCTGGTGTGAAATTGGTAAATGACGAAGTGCTTTCTGAGCCACTGGGTAGACTTAAAATAGTGTGTGTTTGTTTTTTCCACAGTATGTAGACTATGTTAGCAGCTGAAACGTGGGACTTCAAATGAAATCTATCAGGAAGTCTGTGACAAGCAAATGAAATAGGAGGGAACACTTGTTCTCGTATTATCGTAATATCAAAGAGCATGCACAATATGAAGCTGTCAAAATGTGGGCCAATATTTTACATAAACGTGACAAGGTACATACCACTACAATCGCAAAATCATCGTTCCGGTATGAGCAGTACCTTGATGGCCATTGCCTATTGTAAGTGGGATGTAATTTGCGTCGTGTTATGCTTGACAGCCTATTGCCAATCCACTGCTGGATGAAGAAAGCCATGGTGTTTGATGGCCATCACTTCGCCATGCTGGGCAGTGCGGCTTCGTGTAGGGAAATGGGGGGGGGGGCAGGATTGGTTGAGATGTCACTCGCAACTGATGTTAGCCGTGGTCAGGAGTCGAACTCAACATACTCCATGTGTATGTATGTTGAAGTTATTTCTTACCGTACGTAGCCAACCGTGCTAATCGGAGGAGGTGCGGGGGAAGGACAACAAACTAAACGCAAAAAAGCAGTTCTAAAGAATGAGTTTATAATCCGTATGGGTTCAAAGTGCAGCGTGCTAACCACCGGACCACCATTCCACGACCCATAATCTGATTGAAAATGTCTAATGTTATTGTCACAATGCCAGTAATGCCCTCCAGAGCAGTGCTACACTGAATATATCACGCTAGGCGGTGGAACAGTGATACGGCTGTTAGCACGCGCTGCGTTATGAACCTGGCGACCCGAGTTCGATTCCCAGCCACGGCTCGCATCAATGGTGACTGGCATCTCAATTGATTCTGATCTCTTCCCCGCACACTTCGCCAAACTCACACTGACCAGTGTGGTGAAGTATGGAACAAAATCCCCCATGACCGGAGGAAAACCTTCTTATCATTGATGGATTTTAAATTAATGGAATATAATTCTCACGACGTTTCGGCCACCTGAAGACGGCTGCTTGCGTTGTGGCCGAAACGTCGTGATAATTATTTTATTATGTTTTATTTTTATTATTTTATTATTTTCCTTCTACGTGACTTTACCGAAAGAACCAAGAAGAAGCATATAACCTGTTATAGGTGTAGAATGATTGAACAGGTTTTTGAAATCAGGCCAATGAGCATGTTTTCTGCATCACCCATGTTCATGATGGTAGCTGTGTTGTTCTGACATTTCCTGAAAGATAACACATTTCTGAACAAGTAGCATTGCCCATGCATTCACACGGTATATATGACTAGATTGAACTGCAATCCAAATGGATGCCTTGCTACTCATTTCCCATTTACACTTGCTGGCCCACTTTCAATCAAATCAACAATAACAATATTGACATATCACCAACAATAAGATTATTGTCCATATCAACAACAATAATGACATATCAACCTCAACAACAATAAGATTATTATCCATATCAACATCAACAAAAATATTGACATATCAACAATAATATTCACATATCAACCTCAACAACAAGATTATTGTTTATATCAACAACATCAACAACAATATTGACATCAACATCAATCGGATTGTTGTTCATATCAACAACGACCATATTGACATATTAACCTCAACAACAACAAGACTGTTGTCCATATCAACAACATCAACAACAATATTGACATATCAACAACAATAATGCCCCTGACTGAACCCACACCCCCCTTCTGGGGAAGTCTCTGAAAAAGCATTGATTTGGAATCAATTTAAACTCCCAGTCATTAAGAGGTTGATTAATTTCACCCGATCACGTGGTCGTCTATTGCTATCGCCGAACACTATTCCAACAACATGTTTTAGTGAAAAATAAATACGTTCAACAGCTGTCTGGGCAAGCGGCGCAATTATTACCCAAACTCACTAGGCGTGGGGCAGTATGGGCGGGGGGGACTTTGTCCAGCAATGAATTGACAAAGAGGGCTATAATCCAATATTACAATAGCTATTCCGCACACATCTTGGGTGCTTGACAATTAATCAATGACATGAAGGTCATAGTCTTGCACATAAAGGCAGACATCGTTCAGACTTAATAAAAGTGCGTGGGCCTTGGGCACTTATACGTGGCTGAAAGTGATGATGATGATGAGTATGGCTGATGGTCGCGAATAGTAACCGATTAGCAGCCAAGGAACGAAACGCGTCCTCGAGGAAGGCCACTGAGCAGTATGAAGTCAGCTCGTTCGTGGGTTCACTGTCACATCGCATGGTCGTGAGAGATCGTAGGATGTGATGATCGGGGGGAGGGGGGCAGCCCTTAATCCAGCAGTGAATTGATCATGGTTGATAATGATGATGAAAGTAGATTTCAGAGTGACACATGGCGTTGCAAGTGCTTCGGATTGTTTTTCTTTCTTCTTCGTTTTTGGCTCCAACACTGCAGCTGGCTATTAATTCCGGAATTGATTCAGCGCCAGCGTGTGGCGGGGATGGCCGTTCTGGCTGGCTGGGGAATGCTCTGTGTTTGTCTCTGAGCCCTTGCGCAGTCTGCATGACAATGAGGGTGGCGTTCCGGCATTGGGGGGAGTGGGTGGGAGGTGAGGAGAAGGAGTTGCGGGGGGGAGGGTTGCAGTGCGTGGGAGAGAGAGGAGAGAGAGAATAGGCCCTCTCGGGCAAGGTCTGACGTCACCCGCGCACAAAGGAACCCGCAGCCCATGTTTTTGGACGCGCACGTGAACCACGTGGACAGGGCAACCCGCCTTCAGAGACCGACATTTCACTTGAACGCGTAGGCTTTCGCGACCAATATCATCCATAATACGTTGTTGGTTTTTTTGGCTTCGATCGCGTGAATATATAAATGTGTCGTTAAAACCGCCACCACCAGACAACAGCCAATTCGTAAGGTTTGTCACGTAAACAGAACGTGCCAATTCGTGTACTAGTACAGCACACCGGTGTGTTGGAGAGCAAATCCACAACATTTGCGTTTCCCCAGTAATTACAACTCGCACCATCAGGAGGACAGCCAAAGCGGTGTGCGTCCGTGCGCATGCGCGTGCGTGTGTGTGCACGTGCTCAAAATTCACAAGGTCCACGTAATGAAATCATGACATGGGTAAATTGTTAGCTCAGCCCGTCATTCATTCGCGGTCAATAAAATCAGAATCGTTATCATTAGCGGCAGGCTGCAGCAGCAGCTGTGATCGATCCACTGCTGGATGAAGGACTCTGCACATCGCCGATCCCACTAATGCCATGATCTTGCCTCCCTCGTCTCCTTCCATGCCCCTCTCATCCTCTCTCTCTCTGTACCTCCTCCAACGACCCAATCCTGTTTTCGGTTCGTCTCCCTCCTTGCTCCCCTCTACTGGAATCAACTTCCCCTGTACATGAGGCAGCTCTGTCCATAGACTCAACACTGCCCATAGACCCAACACTGCACCATAGACTCAGCACTGCACATAGTCTTAACACTACACCATAGACTCAACATTGCCCCATAGACCCAACACTGCACCATAGACTCAACACTACCCATAG